TCGTGGGGCGCTCAATGGGGAGCTCAGGGCTATATTAAAATGGCCAGGAACAATAATAACCAGTGCGGTGTGGCCACCTATGGTGTCTACCCTACCACTGTTTACTAAATATGATTATAAATACTATGTATTACGGGTAATATAATTATTAAAATAAAATTATGCAAAAATATATTCGTGTATATTTATTTAATTTTGATTATTTGTCAATAATATATTATGCAAATACAGTGCACTTTCTAAATAGTAACTCCAATCTTACCATGGTAGTTAGTCAACATATAATGAGAGTACAAAATAATACCTCTTAATCAATGATAAATGTTATTTTTCATTAGAATTGAAATTAATTATGAAATTAAAATCACAAGTACATTTGCAAAAGCTTATCCCTATCAACGAATTAAGAATTTAAACATTTTTATAAACAAGAATAGGGTACCTTGATTATACCGACCAAATAGCTTTACACTAAACCTTGATTTAAACTAAAAATTTTATAAACTTAATAATAATTCCTTTTATTGCAAAACAGACTTATTTAAGAAAACCATATTCTTGTAAAGATTATACATTTTAAACAGTTTATAACTAGATTGTCGGCTAAATTTGTAATTTAGTTAAAAATCACATTTTATTTTTACGAGGAAAGAAATAGTAATTCGATTATTTGGTACAGGTAAAATTTTTTTAAAATTTCTAATTTCTCGGCATTCTAATTGAAGGAATATACTCTTGTTTGAACCTTGACACAAATTCTCATTCCTTAACAATCAGGGTGGTTCAGTGATGTTTGGTAAGCCTGACCATGATTGAATTTCCAAAGTCACTAAATTCAAAAATCACCTCCCGCTTTGCTGTACGATTAGCAAGGACTTTTCGACTGGTTACATTTCATTAACAATCCGGGGCTATGCGGCGACAGATCTTTGAGCGAAATTATGAGTACATCACTGCCCATAACGCCGAGACCGACAAAGGTGTCCACACTTTCCGATTGGGTGTCAACCAGTTTGCAGACATGACTTTTCAGGAGTACCAACAGCTCCTAACCCTGAGGTTGAATGTAGACCACGTGAACACTGAGTTAGTCGAGGAGGTGGTCGACCAGGCCCTACCCGACAGCGTAGACTGGAGGTCCAAGAATGTGGTCACACATGTCAAAGATCAGGGACAGGTATGACAACTATAGTACACTAGTATAGTTTGTAATTTTTATTAGTCAATAGCTAACATACACCCTAGCTAACATACAGACACAAAATTAAATACACGTTTCAATTTTGTTTATAATATTTTTTGTAAGCTTTACTAATATTACACAAATGATTACGTGTTTCACTCAGAATTTGTTAATTAATATTAAATTATATACTATATTAATAATATTTTTAATGTAATACACATACACTAGTTGATATTTTTAAAATAATAATTATATTTTAATTGTATTTCAATGTATAGTGCGGTTCGTGTTTTGCATTCTGTGCCGTCGATTCAATTGAAAGTAAGTTTTAGTGAACTATTCAATCAACACTTGAATGAACTATTCCACACACGCCCGTATGGGCACCTGTCAGTTCTCCAAGAGTAAGAAAGCCGTGTCCGTCACCGGCGTACACACCCTACAGACCGGACAGGAGTCGGCCATACAGAGCGCAGTGGCAAACGTGGGACCGGTAGCCGTAGGCA